AATCCCCCTTCGGTAAAGCGCGCGTTACTGCCCAGTGTGATTCGGTAAAGCGCACGTACGTTAATGCCCCTTCGGTAAAGCGCGCGTTACTGCCCAGTGTGATTCGGTAAAGCGCACGTACGTTACTGCCCCTTCGGTAAAGCGCGCGTTACTGCCCCGTGTGATTCGGTAAAGCGCACGTTACTTCCCCTTCGGTATAGCGCGCATATTACTGCCCCGTGTGATTGGGTAAAGCGCACGTACGTTACTGCCACTTCGGTAAAGCGCGCGTTACTGCCCCGTGTGATTCGGTAAAGCGCACGTTACTGCCCCATGTGTTTCGGTAAAACACATGTTACTACACAATGTAGTTTGGGAAAAGCGTACGTTTCTCGACCAATTTGCTGCTGTAAACATTCATGCTTTCACCTTGTAAATGGCAGGTCTTTTCTGTCTTTTGCAGAAGCGGGAGCAGCGATCCATACTGTATTGTCAGGATTGACAGTGAAGCCATCATCAGGTATGTCTGTGAATCTTGTTTATTTTTTGCTGACGTTATTATAATAAGTTTTACTAGTGATTAATTAAGTAATTTCTTCAGTTAATTTAAGATGTATGCACTCCGACCTACCTCTCCATTTTTTTAATCTTCACTGTTTCACAGGCATGCAGTAGCTGTTCCTGATGTTAGGAATTCCCTGACAGGTCGATTCTGAAAATCATTAATGAATTACTGTCATTTCGACCAGTGACTTTGCAGAGGCTAAACTGTAGTTTTACTATCTGTAGTAATGATAAAAACTGTTAATAAATACAAAACCCTGCTTCGTTTTAAACCTTAATTTTTACAGAAAACATGCCAATAGGCAGTGTTGCCAGTGAATGCTGGAAGCTTTTGTTCTCGATTATCAGCATACACCAAACCCATTTTCGATGTTAGAAAGACAGCAAGCTGAGTGGAATGTCAAAACACTGTAAAGTGTCCCCCTTGCATCAGTTTCAGTTTTCATCATCTGTTGTAGAAACGAAATAAAAAATACACGAGCGCCTAGTTTTGGCCGGGCCGTGCTGCTGTGTCACTCGACGTGCTGGAAAATGTGGACACTTGTTACCATCGGTAACCGCGTCTCGAGCAAACACAGCCGATGGGAAGGAGTCAGCTGGTTAAACAGTCGCAGTGTTTAACCTTTTTGCGAGAGAGTTTCCAGACATCGGTTTAAAGGCCTCTGCTGGCTGACTCAACAGGACCATCGTAAATCTTTAACAGCGAATCCCACCCCCGCATTTCTGTATCACAGCAGATTCAATGGTGGTAATGAACTAAAATTCTGTGGATTCTCTAAATGTAGCTCTATCTGGTCCCAGAGAAAGACTGTAGGGGAAATTGCAATGGTTTTGCGTCCAATGTTATAATTAGAAAATTAGATACATTTTATTAAGGGAGGATTAACACTTTAAGAAGAAAATTGAAGACTTCTTGTTGCATGAATATTTGTTGTGTGTTGTGTGAATGTTGAATGTTTGCCGTTACAGTCTCCTGTGTTCCGTGCTGATGTTACACAGATACCCATTCAGGTGTCAGGCTTAACTCTGTCTCTGTCACATTAAATGGACTTTGCCCCCCCCACCCCGTTTAGGACTGCGACAATCTGGAAGACGCTATCCCCCTTTTGGGGTGAGGAGTACAACGTGCATTTGCCCCCCTCCTTCCACACTGTGTCCTTTCACGTGCTGGATGAAGACTCGCTCAGGTACTCCGGCTGTTTTGGCGAAGCTCTGAGGTATCTGTAGATATAAATCTCAGGGGACTGTGTGTAAAGGGATAGATAGATAGATGGATGGATGGATGGATGGATGGATGGATGGATGGATAGATAGATAGATGGATGGATGGATGGATGCACAGGTTAGGTACTTTACTCCATCTTCTATAGGTTGATGTAGCTTCATAACTTGGTCAGAGTGACCTGAATGTGGACAGTGACCTCAGATCTCCAGCGTGCTCCATCGTCTTATCAATCTTGTGCCCCCCCTATCAGCCGAGATGACGTCATCGGGAAGGTGTCCTTCAGTAAGGAGGATCTCGCCGCCAAGCCCCAAGGTGAGGACAGCCCCCCAGAGTGACGGTGTGCAATGAGGCCATTGATCTGCAGCCTGCAGGAGACCTCATGCATAAACACCAGGCACATGCATAAACACCAGGCACATGTATAAACACCAGGCACATGCATAAACACCAGGCACATGTATAAACACCAGGCACATGCATGAACACCAGGCACATGCATAAACACCAGGCACATGCAGTCATCGCAGAGGCTTCCAGGGGCCCCTCAGAGCCTTTGGGAGGGGCTGGGGGCAGATGGGAGCGTACTGCGTCTCGAGCCACTCTCTGGCCGATTCTTCTGAACCTTCACTTGTCCTGTTCCCTCAGGGGTTAAAGGCACCTAGGCCTTTCCAGCAGATTGATCTCAACTGATCAAGCGGCCGCCATCGACCGGGGTGGGGGGGTGAGTCACTGTGGGGGGGAGGTGCGCATGTCAGGACATTAAAGGGGACTGAGTCACAGAGCACAGTGGGGGGTGTTACTGTGACCTGGGGGAGGGGGGTCTTAGTCACTGCGCCCCCCCCTCTGAGGCAGCTTGAGAGGAAGACATCCTTCCCGCCGTTTGCCACTTGAGCGAAGGTGACACCTCTCTTCCTGATTCTGCTTCATTTGTAAGCTGACAATCAGAATCTGACCTTAAACCAGCAAAGGAGCTCCTTGTCCTTCACGCTCATGAGGCCCGACCCTCTACACTATCTCAGCAGAATCGTCCCAGCTTTGGATCGGATTTTCCTGAAGGCCCCATCTTCTTCTAACTCCCTGCCACAAACGCAATCAGAGATCTTGCCGGAATCTTCCCAGATCCGCACACGTATGGACTCGCTTACGCCATCTGTCGCCTCCTTTGGGCTCTGCTTGAGGTTGAGCTGTGGATGGGCCCATGACTTGTGTGTCCTTAACACCCACGCAGGCAGGAAGGGGTCCGGGGTCAGGGGGCGTGGCCGGCCGCCCTTTTGAAGTGGCGGGTCAGAGCCACTAAAGGTTATGCAGTGTCGCGTCTCACTGGCTCCGTGTTTGAACATATTTATGGAGGAGACCTTTGACTGATACACAGTGCTGGTGTACAGACAACAAAGCACCTTGCTACGCATGAAAAGCGCCTTAACGTCCCACACATGCAGCACATTGCCATAACGTAACACTTTAAACTGAGCTCATGCGCTTAGCCTGTGGTTTGATGCCTAGGTAGATTAGCATAGTTTCTCTGTAGAAAGTTAATAGTTGTGAAAACCATCTTAAACTCACACACGTCATGTTGACATAACGTAACAGTTTAAACTGAGCTCATGTTCCTAGTCTGTATTTTTGATGCCTAGCTAGACTACAGGTAAGGAACCCGATAAGCTTGGAGTTATTCATATTGACAAAATGCATCATTCTAGGAGATCTCACAGGACCTCAGAAAGGAAGTAGACAGTACTCATCATTCTGGAAAAGACACAAGTCAATGTGGACTCTGTCAGGCAAATAACACAGAAACACCTCATTTACACTGATGTGCAGCCTGTACTGAGGTGAAATGCTTAGCTTTCAACTGTGTTTTTCACTTTCAATAATACAATGGAGTATTAGGGCGACGTTGAGGGAAAAAAATATCTGATTTGAGAGTCAATATAACTAGAGGCAGACATTTCAGGTCCAATAAGTAAAAATCCAAACCAGGATTTTGTTTCAACCAGCTAGTTAGTTAGAACTCTGTGACTGTGACTCTTTATACTGAATTGGTTCATTGGAACAAAAGCCAGCTCGTGATTAGCTACCTATCCTAAGTTTGGGAGAGGCCCCTTGGACAGTGGGTGCTTCTCAATACAAAGAACACAAAGCACATCCTTGTGACCTTGGCAAGACCGGTCTTGCTGTCTTGCCTCTCAAGAACAAACTTGGGGCGCAATGAATCATGGGAATGTTCTCGTTCAGTGAGAATGCAGCCAATGGATCCTTGATATCTGGGGAGGAGCAAGACCAACATCCAGGGATTTTTACTGTCTTCTGTACTTGTGTTCTTGAGTATTGGAACTGGTCTTCAGCAATGGAAGTTGATGTAGAATGAGTACAGAGAACACAAGTATGGTCAAGTACACATACTGAGAAACACTCAGTATTTCTGGACGTTTACTGTGGTAACAGGAGAGTCAGGATCTGGGGCTGATGGACCAGGAAGATCCAACATTATTAATTATCTAATAACTTATGATAGCTGTGTATATATACTGGGCCATGGGTTCTGTTGCATTTTAGCGTTTTTAAAATTTGGTGGTTTTTATTTACAAAATTATGAAAAAGACAAATCTATAATCAGAGTCATAATTTTTTGAGCAGAAAGTTCTAGATGAGATGCTTTTATAAAATGGATTAAGACATTTTTGGCAAGATTTGGGGGTGATTTCCATGCTGCTCTGGGGTAAATTGGAGTGAGCGGTAAGCAGAGGGGGATTGTGCATTGAGACGGGTTTGCAGGCCTGCTTTTCTCGCTGGAAAGCTGGACTTTGCTCAGGCTCCAGGAACATTAACAGGCCGCAAACCGCCTGCCTCACAAAAGGCATTGCCGGCATTTTCCACCCGACTTTGTGGGAAAAACTACTCAGATCAGCTGTGCAGGATTTATTTTTGTCCCTCTCCATGGTGCAACAAACTGTAACAGGCCTCAGGAAGACTGATATATTAATCAGAAGAAGCTGAGGCTCTTCCATCTGGACGTGCAGGTTCAGCTCACGCAGCTGGATTGCAGACGGACTCTTCTTCCCAGATTTTGGTCGACGTCAGGTGGCACTGTTGTTTGCTGGGTTATGGTAATGCGTATGTTTCTGTAGGTGTGGACGGTTGGGTGAACCTCACAGAGATCGACCCAGATGAGGAGGTCCAGGGTGAGATTCACCTCCAGATATCAGTGCTGGGCAAAGGTGATGCCAGAATCCTGCGATGCCATGTCTTGGAAGCCAGGTGAGCGACACTTTCGTTAATGATGACTATTTTTACGCTATACTGTTGCTGCTAATGACATTTCCCTCCCTGAGCAGAGTTTGGCTCTGAGCAAGACCCACAACCCCTAATCGCTGTAGCAATTGGCTGACCCTGCTTTTGTGTGTCTGCTAAGCATCTAGACCCCATGACCTGGCATAGGACAAGCAGGTCAGCTGATATGTCTGCCTCCTCTTCTAGAGACCTCGCCAGGAAGGATCGCAATGGGGCGTCAGACCCTTTCGTCAGAGTGCGCTGCAATGGGAAAACCCATGAGACAGCGGTAAGCCAGCCAGTGGCTCCTAGCAGTACAGGGAGGCCCCCTGCTGGTCACTGTGGTCCCCAGTGTGATGGGGGACCCCCTGCTGGTCATTGTGGCCCCAAGTGTGACGGGGAGGACCCTTACTGGTCACTGCGGTCTCCAGTTTGATGGGGGACCCCTTGCTGGTCCCTGCGGCCCCCAGAATAATGGTGCAGCCCCGTACTGGTCACTGTGGTCCCCAGTGTGATGGGGGGAGGGGCCTTGCTGGTCACTAAGGCCCCCAGTGTGATGGGGGACCCCCTGCTGGTCCCTGTGGGCCCCCAGTATGATGGGGTGGCCCCTGGATTTATTTGCAGGTCAGAAGACGCTAAGATGCTTCTCTGCTTTTCCTGCCCTGAACAGGTCGTTAAAAAGTCCTGCTACCCTCGCTGGAATGAGAGCTTTGAGTTCGAGATAGACGAGGCCGCTGGGGAGATGCCCCTGAGCGTGGAGGTGTGGGACTGGGACCTGGTCAGCAAGAATGACTTCCTGGGCAGGGTGAGAAGCCACATGCTTCTGTGTCACTGCTGAAGTGTGTCATGCTATATCACGTGTATTTTGACCCATGGTGTAACAGTATAGTCCAGGGGTCCTCAATAGGCCAACTGCAATCCGGACTGAAACACCATTTAATCAGGACTAACCCCCCCCCCGGAAAAGATGTTATTGGGGCCACTGGACCTTTGTGTCACTGACGAAATTTGGACTTCATAGAAAAATCATTGAGTACCCCTGATATAGTCAATAGTTTACTACTACTGCTAATAATAATAGATGAGTTATTGGGAAGGAGTCCCATGCTGAGCTGCTTGGGGTACAGTCTCCTGCTTACTCACTCGGGGTGTTCCTCTCCCCCAGGTCCTATTCAGCATTAACAAGCTGCAGTTTGCTATACAGCAGGAGGACGCCTGGTTCCGGCTGGGTCCCGATAAGCCCAAACACAGCCAGCCCCAGCCCGAGTGAGTCCTCAGGTGTTGTTCCGTTGGCGTTTTCAGCACAAACAGTTTTGGTACTGTGGAAATTGAGATTCGGTAGGTCACGAGCTGAATGGCTGGAGTTGGTGATGAAGGTACGTTTGTGCCACATGCGGCATCGCTACCTCAGTATATTCGTCTGGAGCTGCGTCACCATTGTTGCTGCCTCAATCTTCGTTTGTGGCTCTGTGCCATTCCATGTCGGCAGACAGCCATATTCCCATCTGTAGCTTTATCCTGTTAAAGATTCAATTCAATCCAACTCCATTCAGTTCAATTCAATTCATCCATCCATCCATTTTCTGAAACCGTTTGTCCTATATAGGGTTGCGGGGAGCCCGTAGGATACGGGCGCAAGGTGGTCAATTCAATTCAATTCAACTTCATTTGTATAGTGCATTTTTACAACATTACATCGTCTCAAAGCGCATTACATTATCCCCGCCCAAAGCCCCCAGTGAGCAGCCAGAGGCAACAGTAGCAAAGAAAAACTCCCTAGAAGAAAGAAACCTTGGGAGAAACCAGACTCAAAGGGGGAGCCCATCCTCCAGGGGGCAGCAGAGGAAGCCCTAACCCTAACCAGAC